CCAGTTCCATGTAATATCTTCCTGCGTGCTGTGACTAATTTCCTTTGTTGAAAAGAAAATCCCCACCAAATGAAATATCAAAGCTCCCAGGTAGCCAAGCAATTAAATAATGTGCAGCATTGCTTTGCAGCAAATATTTTAAAAAGTTTGCTGTTCTCATCAGGGGCTGGCTGCTGCCTCAAAGACTTAAGAGTGTCAGGAACCTTGTGGAGCAGTTCTGCTGTGCTCCCAGGTCCTTGTGAGTCGGAACTGAGAGTGGGTTGTGCTTTAGTATACCTTTGCACAGTAAAAGCTCTCAGAGCCGAACCATAGAAGGTCAATGGGTCAAACCCACCAGCTGCTCTGAGAAAGAGGTGTGGCAGTCTTTGTCTTTACAAATTTCAGCCTTGGAAATTCTAGGGCAGTTCTACTCAGTCCTGTAGAGTCACCATGAGTTGGAATTGTCTCCATAGCAGTGAGTGGGTGAGTACTGGGGGTACAGTCTTGGAAACTCATATGGGCTATTCTGTCTTGTCCTACATCTGTAAGTCGAAATCAACTCATTGGCATTGAGTTTGAAGAGCTAGCATGAGAGACCTAGTGGGTTATGAAATTGGGCTGCTAACCGTAAGAGCCCCAGTTTGAACCCATCAGCTGGTCTGGGTGAGAAGGATGCAGCCTCAGAAACAAACAGGGGATATTCTGCTCTGCTCAATAGAGTTGTTGGAATTCGCTCGCTGGCAATGTGTTTTTTGTTTTGTTTTGGGAGATTTGTTTGGGTTTTTTTTTTGGGTGTTTTTTTTGAGAGCCAGCATCCTAATTTTGGACTTTTAGCTTCCCACTCTGGCATGCCAACCTCTTTGGGGTCCCTGGTGGCAGGCACATCGGGTGAAATAGTGACTGCAATCTAGCAGTCACTGCACAGGAGAAAGATGGGGCTGTGTTCCCTTCATGATTTAGTCTCTAAAACCAAAGGGAGCAGTTTCACAATATGCTATGTGATCGTTCTGAGTTAGAGCCAGTTGATGGTAGAGAGGTGTGGATTTGGCCTCACACTGAGAAAACACATTTCCACTTGTGGTATTTCTATTATAACAGCACTCGATAACTAGATATTGTTTAAAGTAACAATGCGATAGAATTATTTCACATTCTACCTTGTGCTTTGGGTATTTTGTCACCAAACTATTCTTATTTTCTGTTTTCCTCTCCAGAGATCAAGAAGCCACCATTGGCTCCCAAGCCAAAGTTTGCGATGGCAAATAATAAGCCAGTTCCTCCTCCTGTGGCTCCTAAACCTGACCTTGTGGTTTCTAGTCCTCAACAGTCAACAAGGAAAACCAAGCCAGCAATAGCCCCCAAACCAAAAGTTCTCAAAGATTCCCCGGTTCGAGAGAGCCGGCCACTGCCAGCAAGGAAAAACACTGTGAACCTGGACAAACACCAGCAGAAAGTACCTGGAGAAGATGCTGAGGACCATAACTGTACACACGCAGCAGAGCAGAGCAGTGACTACATCTCACCAATGTGCTCCTCCTGCAGTTCCGGGTGTGCCCATAAGCTTGGGAATAGAGGGAATTTGTGTGGAGAACAGCTTCTTTTAGAACCCCTGGAACTGTGTGAGAATGTGGGGAACAGTCGAACTGATGAATTCTCTTCAAGTGTGAAAGGTGAGTCTCAATGTGACTCTTGTGGTGAAAAGACCAAGAGCCAGAGTGGGGTCATTTTAAAGGCAAATGCCACAGACAAGAACCTCGAAGATGTTTTAACCCAAGGAACCACCCCCATAGGCACTCCACAGAATCACAGACCCCCAGACAACCCCGAAATGAATGGCAGCTGTCATTCGAACAAGCAGTTCAGAATTGAGTATGGTGATTCCTCCTCTTCCTCCTCCTCCTCCAGCTTTGAGAAAGTACCTGACTCTCGCCACCTCCCACAACCTCCAAATGAGGAATTTCAAATTGTTGAGACTTGTCAGGAAGGTCACGAAAAAGGCAGTAGTAGTTGCCATCATGCATCCGAAAACGTCAAAAGGAATGATTTTATACCTGCAGACAGAGTGAGTGAGGCGTTGGAAGTCAAAGACCATGGCCCCTTAGAAATTCACCTAGTGCCCTACACCAAGAAATTCCCAACTCCCAAGCCCAGGAAGACACGTACTGCTTGTCTGACTCGCCAGAAGTATATAGACGCACCTAGTGAAAGCATTGAGGAGCCAGATAATTCAGATGGTAGCTCTTCTGGCCTTAGTGACAAGCATTTGAAGAAGAATAAAGGCAGTGTTCTTTGTCAGAATGCTTTGTGTAACCAGAAACAGGTGGACAAAGTGAAGCAAGGAAATGCAAGTGAATTGAATGCGGACTCTGACTGTGAGAGACAAGACTTAGCCCATTCACAGAAAGCTGGCTGTCCTGAAACGTCTTCTGTTGAAGAAATGGCATCTCCTTTAGACAAAGACTCCAGCAAGACAGAGGATAGTTGTAGTCCGTCCCTTGCTGTAGACAATGAGACCACTTTTATAAGATGTAGCACTTTATCTATGAGCCTGCCTAAGCAACTCAAATTAACTTGTGATAAACATTTGCCTACTGCCTGTAACCCAGTAGTACCTGCCCCTGAAGTGCAAAAGGAATCTACAGTCAAGGATGAAGCTTCCTCAAGAGTTGTCCCCAAAAAGCCACAAAGACACAGCTTGCCTGCCGCAGGAGTGCTTAAAAAGGCTGCCTCGGAGGAGCTGGTGGAGAAAAGTTCTTATCCCTCAGATGGAGAAAAAACTTCAGGGAGGAGTCTAGAAAGAAATCACGTTCAGCATTTGTGTGCCCAACACCAGGGTATGTCGTCCTCATTTGATGGCCCTAAGCGGACCTCAGAAAAGCCAGTGTGGAAATTACCTCATCCTATTTTACCCTTTTCAGGGAAGCCAGAATCCTTAAAGTCTGTGAGGATGTCTTCAAATAGTGGTTCATCAGCTACGCAAATCAAGCCCAGAGCGAAGTCATTATCCGCTGTGGATGTGGTTAGGAGCACCAAGCCTTGCAAAGACACTCCAAAGAAAAACTCTTTCAAGAAGTTGCTCAACCTGAAACTGTCCATCTGTTTCATGAAGAGTGACTTTCAGAAATTATGGTCCAAGAGTAGCCAGCTTGGAGACACCACCGCTGGTAGCTTCTGTGGTGGGGAGCAGAAAAGGACAGAAAGTCATTGTCATGGCTTGTTGGTAGGAGAAGAAAAGCAAAGAAAGCCCACCAAGGCGCATTCTGCAGATCATTACAGTCTGGAATCCCAAAAGAAGAAGAAGTCTCGGGACTACCCCAGCATGGCCAATGGTCCTAGAGCTGAGTCTTTGGATGACCGAATGCTCTCCAGGGAGTCATCACCTCAGGCCCCTTGCACGCTGGTGACAGGTGCCTCTGCACCGGAGTATGAAAATATATGCCACTATGAGGAAATACCTGAGTATGAGAACTTGCCATTTGTGCTGGTTGTGGGGAAAACTCCAGAATCTGCATGTCAGAATTCGGGCAGCATGGAGGACACTGATGCAAATATGTATGAGATAGAAGACCCTTATGAAGTTCCTGCTAGCCAGCTGCAACTTATACCCGGACTTCAGCATTGCAGGTAACATTGCATTTTGGCATGCATTATTGCAGTCGGCTTTCAACAACTCTGTTCGATAGGTTGTACTTGGGGGAAGTCACCTGGGAAAGGCTGATTCAGTTAAGGGATTCACAAATATGTAAAAGAAAGAATTGCATTCCTGATTTCTATAATGAGATTGAGCATTGGCTATGATCAGTGATTCTTAGGTGTATTTTAACGACTGCATTTTGCAGGCCTTGTGGCCCTCTCTGTATGAGTTCTGCAGGATGGGTGTAAATGGAAAAATACAGTAGTAATAATTATTAGTTGTCTTGCTCTGGAACTCCTATCCCCAGGTACAGCCTCCATTGATCATATGGATGAAATAGGAAGGTATTGTAGTGCAAGCCAGGGGCAGTTGACTTTTTAGTAATTAATGCAAAGAATTTGAACTGGAGGCAGTGTAGCTGAGGTGAGGAAGATCTGCAACAGAGAAGTCAATGCAGGGCTCGTTGGAGGCAACTTGGGGCAGGAAATTAGCAAATTCCGTGAGTTTTATTTGCTAAGATATCTGTGCAGTTATTGAAATCTGTGCAGCATCGTAAGGGATTATTGAAATCCTTGTAAGGTAAAGGGAGCCCTAGTGGCATAGTGGTTACAGGTTGGACTGCTAACCTCAAGGCCAGCAGTTTTAAACCAGTCGCTCCACTGGAGAAAGACAGGGCTTTCTATTTCAGTAAAGAGTTACGGATTCGGAAACTCACAGGGACAGTTCTACTCTGTCCTACCGAGGTCACTAGGAGTCACAATTGACTTGATGAAATGAGTTTGGAAGGTAAAAAAAATCTTTAAATTTGTACATTATCACTCTTTGGGGATTATTTTATTTGTTGAAAACTAATTGCTAATGTCTAATGAATATAGGAAGAAGTGCAGGAAATATAGCTGCGTTTGTTTTTTTTTTCATTTATAAAGGTGCTTCATGCATCTGGAATATGTACTCCATCTCTTACTGAAATCTTGCCCCTCTTTGATGGGCCAGCTTAACAGTATTTGACTTCAGGAAATGTCGAGAATTACCCAATGGGAAGTTTTCACATCCTGTTCTGACCTTCCAATTATATTACCATCTTTATTGTGGTCTTCCTAACTCTGTGATTACTTATTGGCATGTCTGGTGTTCTGTTTGGTTTTCTCGCTTTGTATCCTTTGTTCCCGCGTGAGGCCAAGCAAGGAGCTAGGTGTTGGTTGGGTCGATCCATGAATGAGTGAACAAGGGGCACGGCATCCTCTCTGTAGCTGCTTCCTTCTCCCTCCGTAGTCCCAGAGGTAAACCTGTGCATTGTACTCATGCTTAGTACTGCATTGTACTGTGCAAGTACCATATGCTTCAGAAAATACATTTAGACCATCTTGGTGCAATATTCTATGTCTTCAGATTCTTCGTTAGGCCATTATGTTAGGCTGGGTTATCTAGAGAAACCAAACCAGTGACTCTCATGTACAAGGAGGTACCAAAAATAACCCACCAGAATTTTTCCCCCAAAGGTATATGTTTAATATTTTTTTTAACAAAATAACAGTATCACCTTCAAAGTATACTCCGTTACATGTAATACATTTGTCAAATATGCGATTCCATTCTTGGAAACATTTTTTAAACTCATCAGTTTGGATGGCTGAGACACCACCTCTCTCATTTTTTTTCTTCACCTCTTCTATGTCCCCTATGTCAAATCGCTGTACTTTCATGTCCCTCTTCATTCACAGAAACAAAAAGAAGTCTCACGGAGCGAGGTCAGATGTGTGGGGCAAAAGAGGCATGCTGTTTTTTTGCCCCAAACTGGCACACTGAGATGGCTGTGTGAGCAGGTACATTGTCGTGGTGACAAAACCAGTCCCCTGTCTGCCACAAATCAGGCCTTTTTTTGTCACACACTGTTTACAATCTTTTCAGAACCTCTAAAGAGAAAGCTTGATTAAAAGTCTGGCTTGGTGGAATGAACTCCAAATGTACACGTTGACATTTTCATCCATTTTGATGTTGACAGATGTCGAGAACGAGATTTGTCATCAATTGACATTTCACCCTTTTTGAAATGAGAAAACCACTTGTACATTTGCATTCTCCCCGTAGCACTCCCCTTGTCAGCTGTGTTCAACATCCCAACAGTGTCTGTGGCATTTTACCTGAGCAGGAAACAAAATTTCACAGCTGCACATTGTTCTCTCAAATGGCCATCATAAAAAACAAGGTTTGAGCAAAACTGCTTTTTAGAGAAAAAAAAATTCGCTGTAACCAGAGAGAACCTTCCCAGGCAAGGCCACTGGGTGCACTAACTTACAGCGAGTTGCTCTTGCCTAATGGGAAAAATGCGTACCGTGAAAGCTCGGCTCCACCCAGCGCACTTCCAGGTTTTTTTGGGTATCCCCTTGTGTGTAAAAGAAAGAACTTTATATCAAAGTCCAGCATAAGTCCATGGAGTCCACTGCTAGCTGGAGCTCCTTTCGGAATCCAGGAGTTGCAGGTGGAAGACTCAAAGATGAAACAGGAAGCTGGGTGATCCCAGGCTGATAGGTGCAGAGGCTCCAGGATCCAAAGTGGGCGACAGCTATCAGGGATCCAAACTTGGCTCACATGGAGCTACCCCTGAAGGCAGGCACAGGGTCCTATCCAGGAGGAAGGGCAAGGGCAAGAGGAGTAGGTCTGTGTTTTGTTTGTAAAAGAAAAGCCACACCCCCAAGGAGGCATCATCTGGCTGTGACCTGATTGATAGGTTGGGGTGGGAGGAGTCAGGCAGCAAGGGGTTAACATGTAGCCAGCCTTTGTAGCTAGAAGGTATTCGGAAGGAAGGCTCTCTGTGGAGGCCACAGGAAACCCAGGGCTGCGTTGGACACAGTTGCCCGCTATCAAGTAGGACGGCCTGCTGAGGGGGTGGGCTCATTCTGTTTTGGAAGTTAGCCATCCAGAAAGAGGTTTCTGTTTAGGCCTGGAGCTGGGAGCTCCACAGATGAGATTCCTAAAATAAGGCCTTTGAATGAAAAGCCTTTAGTCATAGGGTCAGACTAACTATTGATTAGGAGGCTGTGCCTTTTGTAAACAGGACTGAACAGACGGGCCGGGGGTAGGGTAGAGAAGATAAAAAATAATTTCTTGTGGAGAAGATAATTTGGGTAAGGCAAATGAAGCCAGTTATACATCGCATTTCAGGTGAATTGAGGCGCAAAGTGACAGCCCTCTTTGGTAATACGACACCTGAAAATACACCTGTGCTTTGGAATAATTGATTCAAAGACTAATAGCCTAGAATTCTTCAAAGAAGCCCTGGTGGCACAACAATTAAGTTTTAGGCTGCTAACTGAAAGGTCAGCAGTTCAAACCCACTTATCTGTTCCCATACAGATTACAGCCTAGGAAACCTTATTTAAAATAAATAACCAAAAACCCCACCTTGCTGCCATTGCGTTAGCTTGGACTCTTACTGACTAAAGGATAGCGTAGAATTGCCCCTGTGGGTGTCCGAGGCTGGACATTTTTATGGGAACAGAAAGCCTCATATTTTCCCCCACAAGGAAACCCCGTAATATAGTTCTACTCTGTTGTGCAGATTCACTAGGAGTAGAACTAGACTGGAGAGCATCTAACAACCTTGTGGCTCTAATTTTTTTTTTTAATGTAAGCCTATGTTAGTCCAGTAGACTAAAGAAACAAATTCAGCGAGACTCATATGTGTATAAGAAAGTTTTATATACAAGAGCAATTGAATATTGAGAAAACATCCTAGCCCAGTACAGAACAAGTCCACAAGTCTGCTCTTAGCTCATATGTCCAATACCAATTATAAATTCATCTTCAGACTCATGAAACACATGCAATGATGCAGATTGTGGATCCAGGGTCAGTGGAAGTATCTTGGCGCTGGCAGGGACTCCATGTGGCTCCTTCAGCTCCAGGGCACTAGCGTAGTTCCATGTGTCTTGTCAGCAAGGATGCCTTGCAGGGAGTGAGCGTGTGTTCCACTACCAGCGAGCTATTTATCTTCTTAGCGCCTCCAAATTAGGTCATCGAGCTGCGACCTGATTGACAAGTTAAACACCATCCCTTCACTCTTAATTCTCAAATTGACAACAGATTGTGTAACTACCACAAAGCCTGAACTATGCCTAAATTTAAATAACTGAAGCCAAACCTTTGCCAGAATGAATCAGAATAGTTAGTCTTTACCAATTTTTCATCCCTCAGGGATGAGAGTCTGGATCTTACATAGGGATTAGGTCAGAGAAAATGACTAGTTTACCGGTTACAGGTTTGTAACTGGGCTGCACGCAAGAAGGTTGGTGATTCAAACTCACCAGCTACCCTGCAGCATAGGCAGTCTGTGATCATAAAGATTTACAGTCTCTGGGGAACCCAATGTAGCAGTTCTACCCTGTCCCGCAGGGCTGCTAATCCGTGATGGTGTGTATGTAGCCATCTTGGTTTCTGAAGGTTGGTGTAGCAGAAATGCCACAAGTGGGTGCTTTAAAGAGCAGAAATTTATTTTCTCACAGGTTAGAAGGCTGGAAGTCCAAATTCAGGGCATTGGGTCTGAGGGAAGGTTGTCTGATCTGTGAGAAAGTCCTTGTTTCAACTTCTCTAGTATTCTTGGAAAGGAGTCTTCGTGTGGTACAAAAGAGCCAAATCTCAAATATAATTTTCGACAAAACCCTAAAAAGGACAAAGACACAACATTTGGTAGAGACTGTTAGCACGAGGACATGATGACATCCACACAGCCACTTAAATAGAGCGTGAGACATGAAGTACAGTCATGGTCACAATTGGTGGCAGATCAATCCATTGCAGTCACAGGAGGGTCTACAGAAGTGGGAATGGAACCATAACTCAGTGGTTCTCAACCTTTCTAATGCCGCGACCCTTCAATACGGTGCCTTGTGTTGTGGTGACCCCAACCATAACATGATTTTCGTTGCTACTTCATAACTGTCATTTTGCTACTGTTATGAATCGTAATGTAAATATTTGACATGCAGGATGTCTTTTCATTGTTACAAGTTGAAAGTAATTAAAACATAGTGATTAATCAAAAACAATATGTAATTATATATTATGAAACATTTATTTCTAATTACAAATAAATGAAATTTTGTCTTAAAGCATGGTGTAGCATCGGTAACAGTCTTCACGCCGGCTACCTGTATGTGGGCGTATCTGAATGTGCTTGGAGCCACCTAGAGACGTTAGAGGAGTGGCGTCTATGTTCCTAAGACCATTGGAAATACGTGTTTTCTGATTTGTTCAACCCCAAAGGGGTCGTTGTCATAATTGGACTATGGATCATATGTTGGAAGAGCTAACAAGATTGAGCCAGGGCTTTCTGACCAAGCTAGGTAGGGCATGATTCACAGGGCACAGGGCACATGACTCAAGACTGTGTGACCCCAGTGTGGTGATCTCCTTCAAGGACACACCCAGGAAAGCCCCTAAAGGAGACTGTGTTTCCCCAACCCACCAACCCACCCCTGGGGCTGGCTAGGGGATATGGAGTTCATCTACTTTCCACTTCAGTCCACCTGAGGGCAAGATGCTCACATCCCTGGCTAATGGTCAGAAGAAATTGAATAGGGGCTTAAAATCTAGTTGGGGGACTCTGAAAGTGGATTGTGGGCCTTCACTCTCATCCATAGCCTTCTGAAAACAGGGCGCTGAGAATCTAAACTCTAAAACAGAATTTAAACTCTCCTGACAGCCGGGTCAGCTATTCAAACTCCCCAGTCACTGCATGAGAAAGATGTGGTGGTCAGCTTGTGTCAAGATTTACAGTCTTAGAAACTGTGTAGGGTCACTGTGAGTTGGAACTCCAAGGCTGTAATCTTTGCTTTTACAGGAACAGACTGCCACCCCTTTCTCCCGTGGAGTCACTGGTGGGTTCAAACCACTGACCTTTCCGTTAGCAGCTTTAACCATTGTGCCTTCAGGGCTTCTTACTCTGTAGGTATAAGGAAGAGGATCAGTAACACATTGGGGTGAGGGTGGCGAGCACAATTCAATCTATAACAATAACCAACCAAATTCTCTAACAGTTAAACAATCACTCAGCAAGCTTGGAGTGATATGGCATGAAGATGGTTCCTAAATCCAACAGCTTAACATTCACAAATTTATAACAACATATTTATGCTTTTTCAAGAAATAACTGTAGCCAGTTCCCAATTCTAAATGGGGCAGTGTTCTAAACGTTCAAGATCCTTTGGAACTCAGAGTGCATTTCCCAAAGGAGAAATTTTAGAAACGGTGGTGAAGGTCCCATTTTATAGTAATAATCAGAATATTATTTTATATTAACATTACAGTACTGGCCTATTCTTTCCTTTCCTTTCCAAGCCCAAATCCACTTCCCTCAAGTCTATTCTGCCCCTCCTTCAGGCCAGTAAATTCTTCTCATTGTTTCTGTGTATTCTTCTGATGACAGCCGAGCACTAGCCAATGTGTTGTTGAATTCTGGGAAAAGCAGCTCCGCTAGGTCTGAGGCATTCATTAGGGTTTGTGGAAAGGGTGAGGTGACTAAAGAAAAATGAGGAAATTGGGGGGCTGGGCTGCTGTGAGAAAGGCCTTGTCAGTGATAAGGAGAAGGGCAGGGCAGGATTGGGAGTCAGCATGCCGTAGATTTTCTTCTCTCCTTTTCACCTTATTATTCCTCTCTCTCTCCTCTTGGCCTCCCATTCTCCATTACCAATGGTGCGCTTCTGCTAAGTGAGTTTCTGGAACCAGACAAGGGTGAGAAGTAGTTGGAGGGGAAGGAGGAGGGGGTGGGGTGGTGGTGGTAAGGAGTGGCACTGGGGACTCCCATAGTGGGGGAGGATAGACAGCCAGATCTCAAGGTGAACCTGGTAGAAGGGAGGAGTTCTCATAGCTGTAACAACAGCTTGGGCTGCTCCCAGGTAGGCCATCTTTTAGTCACTGCTGTGGGTTCTCAAGGAGCCCTCATGTACCAGTGGTTACTGATTGGGCTGCAGTCCGTAAGGTCAGCAGTTTGAAACTACTGGTTAGCTCCAAGAGAGCAAGAAGGGGCTTTCTACCCCCGTGAAGAGTGACAGTCTCAGAAACTCACAGGAGCAGTCCTACCCTGTGTTGTAGGGTTGCTATGAGTCAGCATCGATTCCATGGCAGTTTGTTTCCTTGGTGGGATCTCAAAAGCAGTTCGTTTCTTGATTCCACAGATACTGTGTGTCAGGCCTTGTTCCTTTAAAGGAACATCTGCTCTCTAGGGATGCCTGTCTATCAAGGCAACAATATAGAACAGCATGATTTCCTTAATCCAGATGTGGACTGCATTGTGTAGCCCACTGAGGTAGTGGTAATGCAGTGGACTTCACAGTGGTGGTCACATGCGAGCCCACGAGCATGACTGGCCTTTGGGAGGTCGTTTCCTGATCTTGGTGGGAGCCGCTGTGGCTGTGGTGCTCTAGGGGAAGAAGTCAGACTCTAGCCTGAGGAGGGTTGAGAAGAAAGGAAGTGGACTCCGCTAGTATGGTCAGCTATCCCTGGAAACTGTCACTTGACCGGCTGGCGTTATCTTTTGGTCTTCCTCATGTACCAGGATTCAAGAAACATTAAACTCAAGATTCTTTCTTCTTTTCCTTCAAGATTATTTCTTTAACTTGGTATTTCTTGGATTGGAATTAGCCACCATTTTGGCAAATCTGTTTGTTTACATACTTAACCACAATTGAAGCCGCAGCTAGAAGCACATAAAATAAAGATTTCTTGGCAATTGTTTTCTTTTGCCTTGTAGGTAAGTGTTAAAAATTAGTTCATTTTCAGTGTTTTGTCCAGCTGTGTTGCATTGGCCTTCATTTCCTGCCTTCGGATGAATGATCATGTATCAAATAGATATATGCTTTGGTGTAGTTGAATGTCACTGTACACATTTAGAAGCATATTTATAGTCAGGAGAAAAGGTACCTACAGAGAGAGGGAGAGAGAGTGAGAGAGTGTGTGTGTGTGTGTCTCTTGTTTGGTAATGATACATTGTTTTGAGTGAGTGCAAAGTAGACCATCCTACAGGGTTTTCAAGGCTGGCACCTTTCAGAAGCAGATCACCAGACCTACCTTCTGTGGCATCGTTAGGTGGGTCCAAACCACCAACCTTTTGGCTAGTGTTCAACTGTTGGTGCTACCCATGGACTTCTCCTACTCCCAATGTTCTCCTAGGGTTTATATCCATTCACAGAGCAGTGAACTGCCTAATTCTTGTTAAGGCCACCCATGGGGTTTCCCTGAGGCCAAGTTGATGGCAACAAACACCACAATGTATAGAACTAAGAATGTATTTTTTGGCTGTAGAACTATAAGTTAAATTCATGCTTCACTCACTGCCATCGAATCAATTCTGACTCACGTAGAGATGAAGCATTGGACAGCTCATAAAACATCAGCGGCTTCATGCGAGAAAGACAGCCTTTCTACTCCTATAAATGGTTATAGTCTCAGAAACCAATAGGGGCTCCATGTGAGTCAGCATTGACTCGGTGGAGTGAGAGTAACCCTAGAGGACAGAGGAGAACTGCCTCTGGATTTCTGAGATGGTAGCTCTTAGTGGAAGTAGAAAGCCTCATCCTTCTCTCTTGGTTCCCAGCTAGCATGCAGAAATAGATTTAGAAATAAGACTGTAGCAGTCATTAGTAGAGAGAAAAAAAAACTCCAGTGAACAATAAAGTTAAATTGTTTGGGGGAGGGGACTCATGAATGCTGCTGCATTCAAGAAGGAAAAAGCTATTGAGCTGAGGAGAAGGGAAATATTAAGAGGGGTAGGTATGGGAGAGGGGGAAGTGGTGTTAACAAATTAAGGGACAAGGGAACAAGAAGTGATCCAAAATAATGGCGAGGAGGGTGTAAGAGGCCTAGTAGAGCTTGATCAAGGGCAATGTAACCGAGAGGAATTACTGGAACCCAAATGAAGGCTGAGCATGATAGTGGGACAAGAGGAAAGTAAAAGGAAATAGAGGGAAGAACTAGGAGGCAAAGGGCATTTATAGAGGTCTAATTACAGGCATGTACATATGTAAATATATATGATGATGGGGAAATAGATCTATGTGCACATATTTATAGTATTAAGGTAGCAGATGACATTGGGCCTCCACTCAAATACTCCCTCAATGCAAGAACACTTTGTTCTATTAAAGTGACATTCCATGATGCTCACCTTCCCGGAAACAGTCACTGAAGACAAAGCAGGTGCATAAGCAAATGTGGTGAAGAAAGCTGATGGTGCCCAGCTACCAAAAGATACAGAGTCTGGGGTCTTAAAGGCTTGAAGGTAAACAAGCAGCCATCTAGCTCAGAAGCAACAAAGCCCCCATGGAAGAAGCACACCAGCCTGTGTGATCATGAGGTGTCGAAGGGATCAGGTATCAGGCTTCAAAGAACAAAAAACCATATCATTGAATGAGGGGGAGTGCGAAGTGGAGACTCAAAACCCATTTCTAGGCAACTGCACATCCTCTTACAGAAGGAAGGCTCACAGGGAGGAGATCAGCGAGTCAGTGGGCAGTGTAGCAAGGATAAAACATAAACTTTCCTCTAGTTCTTAAATGCTTCCTTGCCCCCATGATCCCAATTGTACCTTACAAATCTGGCTAGACCAGAGGATGTACACTGGTACAGATAGGAACTGGAAACACAGGGAATCTAGGACAGATGATCCCTTCAGGACCAGTGGTGAGAGTGGTGATGCCGGGAGGGTGGAGGGAAGGTGGTGTAGAAAGGGGGAACCGATTATAAGGATCTACATATAGCCCCCTCCCTGGGGGACAGACAACAGAAAAGTGGGTGAAGGGAGACCTCGGACAGTGTAAGACATGGAAAAATAATAATAATAAATTATCAAGGGTTCATGAGGAAGTGGGGAGCAGGGAGGGAGGGGAAATATGAGTACCTGATACCAAGGGTTCAAGTAGAAAGCAAATGTCTTGAGAATTATGAGGGCAACAAATGTACAAAAGTGCTTGACACATGGATGGATGGATGGATTGTGATGAGTTGTATGAGCCCCCAATAAAATGATTTTTAAAAAGGGGGGTTGGGTAAGTACACTATGAAGAGGTGGGAAAGGTGAACTTCTTTGCCTCATCCATCCTCCACGTGGCTTAGGGGAATTCCGGATCTGGGCTCTTGTTCATAAGGGGATGAGTGTATTCATAGTTCAGGTGTTTGTAACTCAGATGATGCCTGTACTTGTATGTTACTTTTATAAATTCTTTGTGTTTTTGCAAACATTTCTTTTACATTCATCATCTTATCCTGGAATGGCATAAGTGAATTCATTCTAATTAATTCTTTTTCATTTAAAAGTGGCGGGGAAAGTAGATACATTTATACTGATTTGTTTATTTTGGAAAGGGAGAAATAAAGCTATTCACAGAAGACATAATCACCTATGCAGAATTTTCACCTGTAAAGATCTTATAACTACTACATGAATTAGGCAAGGTCTCAGGGTACATAGTTATATTTGTTTTAAAAAATAAAAATTTAAAACTAACTGTCTTGAAGCTGTGTTAGTTCAAAGAACACTTTGAATGATAGAACACTTTGAATGATAGCACAGTTGTGACCTTTTTCCTTTAATCCTAACTATAAGTTAATTTTGAGAATGGATTGCCTACTTTCTCCTGGGTGGTATGAAAAAACTACTTTGTGGTTTGGTCTGGATCTGGCAATTGTATCTGTGATCTCTAGAGCTATCTGCTCCTGGCAGAGTTACAGTCATGGAAACCCACAGGTGTCCTGTAGGGTCGCTATGAGTCGTCATCGATGGCAGTGAGAGAGAAAAATAGTATTTGCAAGTAGTCTTGACATTGAGCAGCAATAATATTTTATTGGAGCTATAAAAGTAGAGGTGGCTGTATAAATAGGATATGTATGGAATAAAGCTATAATTACAGAGAGAGCAGCTGTCTTTTGCTAGTCTCTCAGAATTCTCAA